CAGGAACAGTCAGCATGGATTCACCAACAGCAAGCCATGCCTTACCAACCACATTTCCTTCTAGGATAAAGGGACACACTCTGGGTGGAACGAGCAATGGATATGGTATTGGTATACCTTGATTTTAGAAAGGCATTTGACACTGTCTCCCATGATATTCTCATTAATAAGCAAAGGGAATAGAAACTAGACAAAAGTACTCTAAGGTGGATACAGAACTGTACACAGTGAGTAGTCCTCAGTTGCTCAATGTTTAGTTGGGAGGAGGTAACAAGTGGGGTTGTCCAGGGGTCTGTCCCAAATCTGGTATTGTCCAACATCTTCATTAGTGATTTGGATTGAGTACACATTTAGCAAATTTTTACATGATACCAAGATGGACACCCCAGAGGGCAGGGCTAGGATCCAGAATGACTGGATAGACTAGAAAAATGGTCTGCAATCAATGAGATGAGATTCATGAAGGAAAAGGGCAAAATCCTGCACTTCAGTGGGAATAACCACACAAATACACACTGAGGAATGACTGGCTGGGCTGTAGTACTATAAAGAAGGGCATGTACTACAAGCTGAATACAAGCCAACAGTTTGTTCTTGTTGCAAAAAAAGCCAACGACATCCTGGATTGTACGAACAGGACTGTCGCCTGCAAATCAAGGGAAGTGGTCCTTCCACTCTATTCAGCACCAGTGAGGCTTCATTGTTTCCAGTTTTGGGCCCTATGGTTCACAAAGACTGTAGACAGATTGGGAAGGGTCCAATGCAGGGCAACAAAAATGATTAGGGGCCTTCGAGGCAAGATTTATGAGGAAAGGCTGAAGCATTAGGGTAGTTTAGCCCGGAGAAAAGGAGACTGAGGGGTGATTTGATAACAGTCTTAAAATACCTGAAGAGTGATTATAGAGAGGATGCAGAGGACTATAGAGGGGGTATTGTTACATGGACTTTTCTCTGTGGCTGTAGGGGGCAGAATTAGGACCAGTGGCCTCGAATTAGGGGAAATTTTGGATGCAGATAAGAAGGAACTTTCCGACAATAAGAGTTGTCAGACTACCTAGAGAAGTTGTGAAATCTCCACGCTTGGAAATGTTGAAAAGCAGGTCAGACAGACACTTCGCTGGGATGGTTTAGTCTGGAATATTCCTTCCTTGAGCAGGGGGCTGGACTAAATGACCTTGTGAGGTCCCTTCCAGCCTTATCTTCCTGTGCTCTTAATTGTATGGTGTATATTAATGCTCATGTACATAAAACTATACTGTGGGAGCTACAATAGCACTACAACAGTGTATGTCAGGAAAAATGTGGCTATTCTGTGAACTGGTCAGGTCAGCTCCTTTTAAATGTGATCATTTGTTTTCCATAAGAAAAAAAAAACCTATATTTGAACATAAGCCTTAATGTGCCTGTTTACATGAGTAATTGTGGAGGGGACACTGGAATAATACTGTTGATCTAATTGTATGGCATAGCTGATGAACAGACAATTTATGACAGCAGCACAAGGAATTTCTAAAACTTAAAACAGAGTCATAGGAGCTATAAAAAGGAGAAAAGAAGGGAACATATTGCTACATATACTGCTATTTTACGCTTTCCTTCCACTGATGCCCCTACACAAACTTTTGGAAAGGTTCAAGTATCCTCCACCTGCCTTTTCTTGATTTTTAGAAAACACTCTGACTCTTCCTTAAATATGTTACAGTTCTTTTAAAATTAAATTACAGAGCTTTGTGATGACAGTGACTAATATAGAGCACAGTCTTACTGGTGATGAATATCTATAGAAAACGCATGTATTTCAAAAAAGCATTTTTCTCATATTACAGATTCATTTTTATTTCTATAACATGTTTTATTATTTTTTTTTCCTTCTGCTTCTGGCTTTTTTCCTGTCTTGTACAATATGTATTTTCCCAAATAGGTCTAAAACAATTATTTTATAATGCTGACAAGAAAAGTAACACCACTGTAAACTGTCCTACAGCAAAGGCATAACAGGATAAATGATGATAAATATATCATTATTCCACCATTTCTATGTATCCAGTCTTTCAGCTTCTTTTCCCAAGGGCAACTACTCTGGCAGCTGTCCTTCTGTTATTGGCATTTAGAGATCTGAGATAAATGCTGTTGTTGTGTCATACCTAGATGTTGTCCCAAGTCCCAAGGGTACAAAGATTTCTCTTAGAATTAAGACACTATGCATTGTTTCTGTTTTATAAAGCTCATGTTAAGCTACTTATACCCATACTTTATTGTATAATTCAAAGAGCACGGTGCACTCTAAATATTTCTGGTTTATTTTTCTTGTGTAATATGGACAAAATTAAAAGCCTTGTATCTCAGGCTCAGATCACTTAGGCCTTTCCTATACTACCTCACTGCTTAGCTTAGGACCTCCACCAAGAAACAAAGCCTGCCATTTGTTGTTCTTCCATTTACAGCCAAGCATAGCAATTCAGCACTATAGACAGATTAAATGGGTCTTGAAGTGGGCAGGGAGGCACTATAGACATGGTTTTAATCTTTCTCCAGATGTAAAATGGGGATAACAGAACTTTTGTGTCTATTTATTTTGTCATTTAGATTGTTAGCTGCCTGAGGCAAGGCTGTCTTTTACTATATGTGGGTGCATCTACACGTGCAGTTAATGCAATTCAATAAAACTCTGACACCGTTTACACCGGAGTCAGCTACTCCCGGGCATGGCGTTTACATGTGCACCCAGGGCCGCAGCACATTGAGCTGAAGCTAGGATGACCACCTGTTCGTAACTGGGCAGGACAGTCCCAAAATGCAAACATTAAGTCCCGGTCCCGGGGTGAATGACTGGGACAACATTTGTCCCAGATTCCCCTCAACACAGTCAAACCACAGCAACTGTTGTACCAGTATCATGTGCAGGTATCTGGTTTTTCTGTTCACCACAGAAAAACATGAAAAAATGCAGATTTTCTCCTTTGAAGGAGAAAAATACAGGGAACTGTCAGTGGTAGGGTTCCAGCCTGCAAGGGCCTGGTTGGGGCTGGAAGGAGTGGGACATGGGGTGTCATTTGCATGTGTGCATGTGCACACAGATACATGGCCAACCAGGCAGCAATGGAAAGCAGCTCCCTCAGCTGCCTGTGGGTAAACCTATGAGGAGGAGGGAAGGGGCATAGGCAATATGAGGGATGTAGGGGGGCAGATTAAGGCCTCCACAATGAGCAAGGGAATGGGGCAGTGTTGGCAGCTGGGACTGGGTGGTGCATGAGGCCCAGGGCTGGGGTGGGAATGCACAACTGTGGGGCCTGGCCAGGGAGCTGGATGGAGTCACTGGTGGCTTGTCTGTGGAGCAGTGGGTGGGCGGGGGGCGCTGGGGCTGGCACTGGCCCTGTCCCCGTCCCCTGTGAGTGGTGCTGCGTCCACTGCATTCACCCCCAGGGAGAGGGAATGGGCAAGACATGCTCCTCCACATTTGTACACACAGCAGGGGTGGATGCAGGCTGCCCACTGTGGGCTCAGGGCTCCCCACCCTGAGGCCTACCCAGCTCAGCAGGTGGAACGCAGTGTGGGAGGGCAGAACGAGGTGCGGAGGCTCAGTATCCCACTTTCACAGTTTGAAAAGGTGGTCACCTTAGCCAGGCAGAGCAGCCCTGGGCTGGCAAGGAACTGGGAGGTCAGTCCTGAGCTCTGGGTTGGTGGCGGCAGCCAGTGGAGGGGTTGGTGCACAAGGTGGCTGCATTGTGAGGCTAGCTGGCAGACAACCCCTGCACTTTAGCATCCTTGTGCCCCAGCCAGCCCCTGTCACACTCTACATGTGTGTTTGATCACATGTAATTACTCTGCTGTAAAATAGTGCTGTCACTGACAGTACTATCTGACAGCAGAGTTAATTAATCTACTGCACTCTAATATTGGGGCACGTGTAGACTGTGGTGCTTTACTGTGGAACTAATTACTTTATTCTGTAGTAAAGCGCACATGTAGATGCACCCTGTATGTGCTACATCTGGCACAATAGGGCCCAGATTTCAGTTGGGGTCTCTAAGCACTAGATAAAAATAAATGATAGTGGTTGATATGGTGCATACTTTGCTTAACCAATTGATCACGTTTGTTCATTGTAAACATCTTTTGACGCAGTTGTGTCTTCCTCCTATATGTTGATAAGACATACGTCCTTATATATTCTCCATGTCCCTTGGTGTCTTCAAATTGTGATCCTGTGATGCTCATAGGCCTGTTGATATAATATGTATTTTAGTGTGGTACAGGTAAGCACTGGCTACTATATTATAATATGTTGATATATACATAAACTAATGTATTCAGTGCTACAAAAAAACAAATAAAGACATAGTTCCCATCCCACAAAGCTGTCAGTCCAACCCCAAGGATACGTATAGCATAAATGGGTTGTTCTCTAAATGTATGATTTTATATAAAAAGTGGAGTTGTAAAAGGTATTAAAAAAGGATTTCTATGAATAATAGGTATATATTTATTAAATAAATAACAATAAACCCTATTAACTTGCATAGAGTTTACCATTTCCTTTCCAACTTTTGTTTTCAGAGAAGTAGATAATTATCCCAGAAATACTGCTTAATATTTTTCTGAACCTCCTATCACAAAATATTCCTCAGTGTTGCAGCATTTCAAAGATTTTAACAAGAACAGTGATTAAGCTATTACCATTTGTATCAATGATATGTTCAATTGGGCAGTACTTTGGACTGGATACTCCATTCTGTTACCAGTGTCCCATCGCTGTAGTTACCCAAAGGATTTGCAATCCTGGAGAACTGGTGTAATGGAGCAGAAGGTCAATCTCTTATAAAGTAGTTGCAATAAATTATGTAGCAAAATAAATCCCAGAAGAATCCTACTTTTCTAGTTTGACAAGATGATCAATGCACTGGGCATTGATTACTGTGGGTATTTTCCAAGTTCACATTCTTTACTGAACACGCCAAATAATTTATTAAACCATTGTCCTCTTGGCTGTTGTATTTCAGGTGGGATTCCATTTGTCCTAACTGGAGAGTTTTTCGAGCAGTCTCAAAGGCCAGCTGCATTTATGATAGCTGGAACAGTCAACTGGCTTTGTAACTTCACAGTTGGACTACTTTTCCCTTTCATTCAGGTACTCATGATGTATTATTATATGTATGGAATCTGAATTAATAGTAATCATTTTATGTCCCAAAGGGAATGAATGTCAGGCTTGACTCAGTAGCCATTAAAGTCAATACCAAGGTTTCCCTTGACTTCACTTAGGATTTTGGATTAATCCTTTAGTCCACCTTGATTGCTCTATGCTTACTGCAGGGCTTCTCCTTCTGACCTATACAGTAATGTCTTCACAAACTCTGCCTTTATTTTTTTAGCTTAATGGAAACAGCCATATCAGTCCACCAGCTTAGTTTATCACTGATATCAATATTTCAGTCATTGTTCTCTGGGATATTTGTTCACTGTCCAGAGACAAAAACAACCTATGTCAATCAAAGCAGGTATACCAGGTCCTGCTGGCTGGCCTGTGCTAAAGCTACTATTTCACAGGACTTCAATTGACCCCTACACCCAGGTTATGTGGTAAACCTCTACCTACCAGGTTCCTTTCTCTGGACCAGGATCTCCTGTGCAGCCATCTTTAGCCCTGCAGCTCTCCCTGTACATGAAGTGCTTATTTACCTTACCATCTAAAAGACAGTTGATGCGTCCAGGGCAGGAACTAGGCTCAGCCATCTCTCTCTGTGACATGATGAGAGCAAGGCTCGCACTTCTGAGGCCAAAGTAGTAACTCCAGAGTCACTGATGATCCTCTTAAGCATGCACATATGCAAAATGTTCTAGCTAGACAGGGAAAAAAAGCTAGTTAAGTGATTTTTTTTTTCATGTCTAGTTACTGTCCAAGGAAGAATTATTTTTAAAATGTTGAGGCTACTGTATTTCACAGTGTATATATCGCACCTTTTAAATTTACCTTGACTTATACACCGTATCAATACTTTTGACCCCCAGCCCAGCCCTGGCTGAACCCTGGCTCAGCCCTGAACCGACCTGACTTTCTTCACTTCACAGTGTCCCTTTTACTGGAGGCCATGGGGCGTGGGCCCAGCCCGAACACAGCCTGTGGGCCTTGCTGTCACCATGGAGATGCTGCTCGACCGGGCGGCAAGTCAAACCCCGTCCCCTGCGAACAGTGCTGCCTGGGTCACACCAGCCGAGCACAGAGCTTGGTGCCATTCCCTGCGAGTGGCGCCAGGTTTGGCAGCACCGTTCACAGGGGATGGGGCCAGACTCAGCGTTCAACTGCTGGTTGCTGTGTGGGCCGCGCCAGGCAAACGCCAAGCCTAGCACCACACACTTGAGCAGCATCTCCATAGTGACAGCAAGCCCCACAGACTGGGGTTTGCAGGAGCTGGCAGCCTGTGGGCCTTGCTGTCACCATAGAGGTGCCACTCAGCTGGGCACCAAGTCTGGCCCCAGCCCCGGTCCCTGCAAGCGGTGCTGGTCTCAGCTGCCACGGCCCAGGCAACACCATTCACAGGGGATGGGGCCATGCCAGCTGAATGCCAAACCCAGCCCCATTTCCTGGAAGCGGTGCTGCCTGGACCATGTTAGCTCAGTGCTGAGCCTGGCTCTGCCCCTGCAAGTAGTGCTGCAGCACATGTCCACCCCCACCCCCACCAGGTGCTCATCTCACAGTGAGGGCATGCAGGGGCCAGTATAAGTTGACCCCATATTTCTGATCCAAAAAGATAGGATTTTCATAGATCTGGTGTATAAGTCAACCTAAATTTTTGGATCAGAAAAATGAGGTCAACTTGTATACCCCGTCAACTTGTACACCATGAAATATGGTAATTGTGCAAGTTATTTCTAATCAATGTGATTTTGAAGATGTGGGTTTGTTTTATTTTTTTAAATTTCTTTTTCTGTCTTTCCACAATTGATAAATGTCCTGATATAAAACTTTATACTGTCTTTTAAATATTAATCTGCAGCTGGCACCTAGAACTATTTTTACTCTGTAGTAGTTGTTGAATTTATCAAAATGACTTATAATTTATGTGAGCGATCTGGATACTTACATATTAACCTACATAATCTGACATTTGATGTAAAAGGAAAGAAAAAGTGTTTAGTCCTTTTGATTACCAAGATCAACTTCAGAGGTAAACAGAATACTTCTCAGTCCTTTTGCTACCACTTCCTACAATTTCAGTCAGATTGCTCACAATTTTAGCCTACCTGAGAGTATGACATATAATGCTCAATAAAATCAGTGGGTGTCTTCTGATTGACCTTAATGGGTGTCAGTTCAGTCCCCAAAGAAAAGAAAGACTTTCCAAAATTGGATACCCAAAGGTGAGTTTTTCAAAAGCACTTGGCACTGATGCAGTTCTGCTTCTGTCATGAGAGATGTTTTTCATAGAGGTATGAATTCATTCAGATATTTTAGGAATACTCAAATCCCCCAGAGTTACACTCTTGTTTCTACATCCTATTCAAAAATCCTTTTGAGCTCCTAACAATAATTTGTGCTTCTTGAAGTCGGATCTGAATTCTTTGGGGCTGAGCCTCAACTCTCATTTAATGTAATCTATACCTGTTATCCTGGCAAGCATATATTATGTGCATCGTATATATTCTCATAGTCTGTCAATATAAGTCATATCCTGAGGGCCAACCTTTTAGAAAGGTACTTAGTAAGTTCCTTCAAACTAAAGAGGGAGTTAAATTCTTTATTTTTTCAGTAATGTAAAAAGAAATCCCTAGTGCCTTAGAAATGTGTGTTTCAAATTTGATGTTGCCTGAGAAATGCGTTATTTTACTTCAAGAAAAATTCTACTTTGTAATGACAAAAATCCAGGTTAGTTATGATAAAGATGAAGTGAGTTAGTTTTTATAAGAGGCTTCGTAAAAGTTTGCACTTAAATGTATATATAAGAATGCAGAATTACTCAGACTTTGATTTTCTTTGGAACTGTCTCACAAAATTGACCTAGGGGCTAAGTACAGGCATTCCAAAAGCCCGTGCCTGAATTGATTCAGTCTTTGCAGGTTAGTTCAACTTTGCAAGTGAATAGACATTCACTTTTGATTCCAGAAGTGCAGGCACATGCCTGCAGTGGCTCAGGCTAGAAGCCAGGGAGGACTAGAGAGAGCCCTCTGCTGCAGGGCATCTCTGCTGAGTGTGGGGCGTAGCCAGGCCCCAGAAGACTGAGTATTACTGGGGAGGGGTTTAAACCCACCCTGGCCTTCAGGGACTCCAGAAGGAGTATGCCTGGAGGGAAAATGAGGAAGCAACCCCTGCCAGGCATTCCCCACCCCCTCCCTTGCCACTCAAGCAGTGGGGAGTGTGGCCAACCCCAGCAGCAGTGTGAAGCGAGCAGAGATAGGGGGTTTAATTCCCTCCTTCATCCCCTGTCCCACTGGCAGGACCTGCGCCAGGGTCTGCCTGGCCAGGGAACAGCAGTCCGTGTCCGGTTCCTCCCTCTCCCCTCATGTCCCCCACTGCTGCAGGGGCGGGGGTGTGGCCAGAGGCCAGCCAGCATGGCCCCCTAAGGTGAAGGGCGCAGGGAGCGGATTTGTTCCCCCCCTCCCTCCCATCTCCCCCCAGGTGACCACAGCCGGAGTCTGCCAGCCCCAGCCGCTGCCTCCACCACTCACCCCCAGCCAGGCAGACCCCAGCTGGGGTTCCCTGGGTTAGAGGGGAGGGAATGGGGAATAAACCCCTTCCCTACCCACCTTGCCTCAAGGGGCCATACTGGCCGGACTCTGGCCATGCCTTCATCCCTGCCACTGGACCAGCAAGGTGGAGAGGGACCCTAACAAGGCAGCAGTCCACAGGGAGCATAAGCCTCTCCCCAGTGTGGGGCTGTGCTGCAGCCTGGAGTGAGGAGGGCAGAGCTGCCGCAACCTGCACAGAGCAAGCAGCGGTGCTAAGCGGACCTTGGGGGGCTATGACCACCTCAGAATTTGGTTTAGCCCTGGTAGCCGCCCCTCCACGCCCTGCTGCCACTGCTGCTCACCCCACGCTGGCTGCAGCACCTCTGGCCACCCTGCTCCCGCCCGCAGTGCAGCCCCCCATTGGGGGATGCTGGGGGACTCTGGAGGTTTGAGCTCCCCATCACAGAGGCTGCTGCCCCATCAGGTTCCCTACCCTACTTGCTGGTCCAGAGGTGGGAGTGTGGCTAGTTGTTGGCCAGCATGGCTCCCTGAGGCAAAGGGGAGCAAGTTTATTTCACCCTCTGTCCCCTCATCCCTTGGGGAACTCCAGTTGGGGTCTGCTTGGCCCGAGGCAAGCAGTGGAGGCAGCGGCCCGAGCTGGCAGACCCTGGCTGTGGTCTCCTGGAAGGAGAGGGGAGGGAAGGAGGAATAAACCCCTCCCTGCCCCCTTTGCCCCAGGGGGCCATGCCAGCCGGACTCTGGCTCAGGTCCTGCCAGTCAGACAGGGGACAGAGAGTGAAATTAAACCTCCTCTCTCCCCCATTTTCTTGAGGCTGCTGCCAGGGCTGGCCATGCCCCCTGCTGCTCCAGCAGCAAGGGGGGTGGGGGGAAATGTCTAATAGGGGCTGCACTGCTAACCCCTCTCCCTGCCCCCTTCTCCTCAGGGGGCCATGCTGGGCTGGCACCTGGCAATGCCCCCACCCCTACTGCTGCAAGGTGGGGGGGCAGGACCTTGACACAGGTCACTCTGCCCTGGCCAGGCAGACTCTAGCTCGGGTCCATGCCGGTGGGACAGGGGACAGAGAGGGGAATTAAACCCTCATCTATTCTCACTTCACGCTGCTGCCAGAGCTGGCCACGCCCCGCACTGCTTGAGCGGCAAGCAGGGCAAAATGCCTGACAGGGGCTGCTGCGCCCCTGCCTGGCAGACCCCGGCTGGGGTCAATGCTGGTGGGAACGGGGAGGGAGTGGAGAATAAACCCCTTCCCTGCCCCTTCACCTTAAGGGGCCAGTGTCTGGCCATACCCTGGCCTTGCTCCATCTAGGGAGCAGAGGGGTGGGGCCAGCCCTGCTCTGCCAGAGCAGACAGCCCAGCCCAGGGCTGAAAAGCATGCTGAGATGCTGGGGGACTTTGATTTAACTTAAATGAGGAAGGGGTCTGAGGCAGAGGTGACATAAACCAGT